CACCCATGGTCTATAGAAACAAAAATTAAAGCACATAAATATTTGTTTTATATTACCTGACGAATAAACTTATATATTTTCTTCGTTGGTCCTATCTTTTTGCATACTTCCTTAATGTAACATTTAGTTCAATCATGTAATGCTGACCCATCGACAAATTCATCTAATAATAACAATTATATTATTTCCCTTCATATAGTCACAATAATAAATGTAGTGAGCAACAGGTTAATGACAACAATCTTTACAAAGCACATGATGATATTCTCAGTCTTCATTAAACATCACTCACCGTCAAAAGCTTTGCAGATTTCCTCCAGAATACCCAACTTAGTCTTTTAAGTTTCTGAAACTTCAGCAACTGACTTCTCTTCTAGACTTCTGTCCATTTTGATGTCCACTAGGCACTAGCTCAGAAAAACTTAAAAACTAGAAGTTCTTCCCACCGGCCAAGTGCAAGTGCAAATTAGAGGAGTGGCTTGAATCATGTGATAGATCACGTGACAATCTATTCTTAGTTCTATTTAAAATGGCTTCGCAGCAGGTTATGGAGTGTTGTCTTTGTAACCTGTCTGTCCTAGGCTTATGGTCATACATCAGTCATATGAGACTTGTGAATTGTAAAGATGCTGATTTTATTCTCATCTGTGGCATAAACCACTGTGAAAAGGCGCTGAGTTCATTTGCAGCTTTCAATACTCATATCTACAGGCATCATCATGAGGTGCTAAATTTATCAAGGACATATTGAAGATTCCTCTGACTATACCAATGTAGAACCTTACATAAATGATGATCAAGTACTCGCCACATTCACCAATCATAATATCCAGAGTGGCCTTCAGCCTTCATCATCAGATCACCATAACTTGGACCATATATTAGAGCCTGCTAAATTTTTACTACTTTTTCTCAGAAGCATTATCTGTCACGATCTGCTGTATCTGATGTTATTGACGGCTGTCAAAAGCACTCAAAGTATGTGTTTCATCCCTAATTGCAGAGAAGATGAGCTCAGGAGGGATTGATTCAGAAATTATAGGTGACATTTGCTTACTTACTGATAAGGATTTTCCTCAGTTGTTTCAAGGCCTAGACAGTAATTACATACAGGAAAAGTTTGTTAAAGATCATTTGAACTATGTGGTAAGTAACAGCCAAATTTAGTTATCATATTGCATATATTTATGTGCAATAGGAACCAATTGACATTGCCTTCGGAAGTACATATTATTGCACTCGATTCACTGGCTCCAAAAAAGAATTTGTTCAGAGAACTGATAAATTCTATTAAATTTCAATTTTAGAGACACTTCAGTCACTGTTGAAAAGTGATCCAATATTAAATGAAGTTTTACTCGATCATGCAAGTGATGGGCATTTATTTGATATTTGTGATGGGTCTCTTTACAGTACACATCCGCTATTTAGTACAGACAAACATGCATTACAGATAATAGGCTATTATGATGAACTTGAGGTTACTAACCCCTTTGGCTCATACATTTCAAAGCATAATTTAGGTTGCCTTTCCTTTTTTTGGCTAATTATAGGCCTCGTTTCTGTTCCAAATATGCTTCATCTTATTTAGTAGCTGTCGGTAAATCAGAGGATATTGCTCATGATACCTTTTTAGCACCATTTGTGAATAATTTAAAAGTTTTGTATCTTGATGGGATAACTGCTGCTAATTCTATGGATTTTTGTGGGGGACTTTTAGCTTTCCTAGGGGACAACTTGGCATTACATTTAGTTGGTGGTTTTAAGGAAGGTATTTCATTTGCAGATCCTACATGGTTACAAATGAAGAATCACAGCAAGTGTCTTTTAAAAGCAGTGCATTTTACGCAATGTTGATTCTCATGAATATCATCACTCATTGTTACATGGTCCTTTATATTCTCATTTTTCAACCATGCATGGTATTAATCGTCGTTCAGTGCTAGAAGACGTACCTGGTTTTTCTGTAGTAACATGTCTGTCACATGACATCATGCATGACTTGTTTGAAGGTATTGCTAAAAAGGAACTTAATCTATTTTTAACTGATTTTAGAATTAATGGATATTTTACTATTAAGGAACTAAATTCAAGAATTCAAAATTATGATTTTTATTGCGCCTAAACCTTTATTGATAGTAAACCTCATGCCCATGACTACGTTTGCCAATCAGCATCACAAATGATATCATTGTTAAAAGAGTTACCTATTTTTATTGGTGACAATATTTCTGAAGTGGATAAGCATTATTATTGCCTTTTGTTCCTTATAAAAATTGCATTAATTGTATTGTCCCCTATCCTTTCTTATGATGTACTACCCTATTCAGACATATTAGTAGAAGAGGAAATCATACTTTTTAAAGAGTTGTATCCATCATCTAGTATCATACCAAAAATGCACTTTATGACACATTATTCTCATATTGAAAAGTTTGGTCCCCTAGTGCATGCTTGGACAATGACACAAGAAGCAAAGCTGTGCTTTATTAAACGTTCTTCTCAGCAAAGCAATTTTAAAAATGTCCCAAAATCTTTTGCTAATTGTCATCAATATCGGCTTGCATACAAATTAAAGTTCTGTGACAGAATTGTCACTGTTGAACAAAAATTTAGTAAACCAAATAGGATTTTGCTTAGTTCAGAGCCATCAGATCTTATTAGAATGTTTGAGGTGTTTTGAACTGTTACAGATGATCTTGTTTTACGTCACAAATGGGTACAAGTACAAAATACACTATATAAAAGAAATGTTTCTCTTAATTAAACATGATTGCATATTTCCTCACTTTGGTAAAATTGTTGACACAATTGTTTATAGTGGCATAATAGTTTTTTATGTTGAGATATAAAATGCTCAATATTTTGATGAAGATTTTATGTTGTATACCATTGTAAAATCCACACTTGTAGTTGTATAATCATGAACGATCTTGTTATTCATGATCCTATGTATTGTCATACATGTTTTAATAATTCTTATCATTGCATATTTAGTTCTTTACCTTACCAAATTTCTATACAATCTGTAACTTTCTTTTCTTCATTGACATATACAACAATTATTTTGACATTATCTTTGATTTGATTTTATTCATAGGTATTGTTGTTTTTAAAATATATATTAATAATAAAGAAATAAAATAAAAGTGGAGAAATTTATATGTTACTTTGATTCTTCTTGTTTATTTTGACAAGCAAAGGTAGTTTTAACATTTGAGATGTTATTTCAAATGAATTTTAACAACAATACATTCTTATAACAACTATTCATTTTTTGCAGTGTCATTCCTCCAATATACTGTAGGTGAGCAACCAAGTTTAACAACTAAGTCAATATTAGGAACATCTATACCCATTCAAAGTGCAGAAGTGCACACCATTAGCTATGAATGTACATAAATTTGATATCATGCACAGAATTAATGCTTGATACACTTGCTTGTATTTTAGAGTCATCAAAACACAAATTCCCAATTATCTTCAATTTGTCGTGGCTAGATAAATTTTTACCATGGTAGCTACTATTATTTATTCCTTTTTCTTTTAAAGCAATTGCCAAAGGAGCATCATCTTTAACCAAGTTAGTATACACAATGGAGCGATTGTTACCAAGTACTTCAGCAAGATAATCAGCAATAAATGTGTAGTAGTCTGTAGTACCTGTTGAAATGACAGCATAATATATATGTAGCTACTTTAGCCTGCTTGAGTATAGGCTGGGACTAACCTTTCTTTGGCAATTTCTTTAACTCTTGAGCATGGAGTGAAATATTACTCTTGGTTACCATTGAAGATTCGAGTATTGGTTCTATCATCATTGACATGGGCAGTTGCTGTCAATGCCATTAATGGTGTACCAGGAAAATGAGACTTTAGATGCAAAAGCAGTCTATATTTAGTTCTAATACAACAATAAGTTAAAGTTAAAAACTTCCACTTTTGTAGCCATAATATAATTATTGTATGGATGAATTTTGGACAGAAAGTTTTTGGCAGCTTTTTTGCAAGAAGCACTTCCAATATCTTACAGTGGCATTTTTGTGCCCATATGGTATTTACTAGTGTGTCTATGTAAGTGTGTGTGTGGAGTAAAGCTTGTTACATCATGGCTTTTAATTGAAATTTTGCTAATCTTTATTTGGTGGAATTAATTATGATATGGCCCTACATAAAATTATTTTTACATAAATTAAACCAGTATTAGGGTAATAGCTAATGAGGTAACTTCATGGGATACCTGAATGATTTCCAATAATTTATGAGATGAGCTTCATCCACTGCAATGAGACATATTTCTTTGTTTCTGGCCATTGATAGAAAGATTTGTCATAATTGCTGTTGCTTGTGATGGAAAGATTGTAAACAAGAGTGTAGTTCTGCATGTTATTTAATTTGTTGTGCTTTTGAGCAGAACCGAGGAACGTAGCAGAAACACCATGCTTTTCCATCTTATGTACTTATTTTCAGTGAAATAACAATGGCCAACTTTCCAGTAAGTAATGGTGGAATAACATAGCACATTGATTTTCCTATGCCAGTCAGTTGAACTATAAAGCTGTCTTTCCCTTT